TGATGATAACTTTCAAATCCAATCCTTTAATGGCTATGATCCTCAGAAACTGCTAATAAAAAAATCCATTCAACAGAGGTATTATGGCATTGATATTATTATCTGAGACATTGGCCTTCCTTGACAATATTTAGTATAGATAAAAAAGAGTCAACAAAGTGTCGCGCGCCTAATAAAATGGCGTCATCATAACAACCAGCTATCATTCACCTGTCATTGTCCTTGTGAAACACAGGAGATAATATTTATCTCACGCACCACAGTACTCTACTCACATTAATGGGGCACTGATGTTCTTGTGAGATCATGATGTCCTCGAAGCGCAGCACAATGAATGAACAAACATCAGATTTTGCACCAGATTTGGGAGAAAGCCTAACGGCTAACTTGGATCATGTGTGCCTTGATAACCAATCACATTACAGCCTTGTTCAGAGTAATCATCTCTGTGTCGCGCAGGACATTGAAAGGAAATTCAACACAGGTGATTAATGTTTCTGAAATGTATTAAAATATAGCACTTTAATACAGGTGCGTTTGAATTGAAGCGCCCCTGAACAGACCGATCATGTAGTCTACAAATTCTACTGGTGTGATTTCAAACGGAATGCTTTCAAACTAAAGTGGATGCTTTGTTGTTGCAGCTGTTGTAAGGCCGCAGGTTAAGAATCACTTCCATAAATGTCGATCGATGCATTCGTTAAATAACTGTTAAACTGAATAAAATGTCTAATTGAAGAAAAAAAATCTAATTTAAACCGAATCAAAGTTGCATTTTATTTAAAAAATAAATTTCTCCAAATAATGTGGTTATGAAATTCAATAGCCTATCTTTCAATGAAAGCTTAGCATTATTTAAAATGTTACAGTACTTTGAAAAGGTTGATTGAGCATGGTGTTTTTCCTTTTTTTGTGGATTTATATGTAGCATATTTTAGAGTTTAGCATATAATGTATATAAGTTAGAATAATCCTGTGTGTTCAACTGGAAAAGAGACAGCAATGAGATAAAATGAGCTCAAACCTTTCTTGTTAAATTCTTCTTTAAAACCTATTCATCTGAGCAATGCAATCCACATCCTTTTTTTTTATTACTCAACTGACTGTTCGTCAGCAATTGCCATTTTATAACCAAAGAAAACATTGAGAAATTTTAAGTTGAGAAATTCCCTGAGCAAACACTAGGCAATACAACATTCCTCTGGGTCATTAATAGCATACAAGTTCATTTTAGAAAAATTATTACACAATAAAAATGACCGCAGAAGCCTATAAGGACATTTTAAAATGTTTTTCTTTCTCTCCCTTGTGATCTAGAACCTTCCCTTTCGCACCTAAATCATGTTACACCAATGAGAGGATTGGGGCGCGACATAAGTATTCCCAGGCCAATAATACGGTCCTCAGCTCAGCATCACCTGTAACTGTGCGCCAACCTCGCGGGGACAATCACTACCAGATTTCGTGAGTTTTCATAAATATGAAATTGTTGCCAGAAGGCAATGGTTGCTTTGGCAACTGAATGGTTTTTCGGAAAGCATACAGAAGGATCTAAAGGATAGCAATAAAAGAGAAAGAGAGATACAGTCTGAAATAAATAATATGAGAAAATACATTTCTGTGTGCTTAAAGAACACTTTCATTGCTTTACTGGCAACGGATGGCGACTGTAAAAGCCAGTGTTTTACTTTATAGAGGATGAAATAGGACTGTGGAAAGAAAAATGAAGGGCATTAAAGGGATAGTTCACCCAAAAATGACAATTCTGTCATTATTTATTCACCCTCATGTCGTTCCAAACCCATAAGACTTTCGTTCATCTTCGAAACACAAATGAAGATCTTTTTGATGAAATCTGAGAGATTTCTGTCCCTCCATTGACAGCTACACAACTGACACTTTGACGCTTCAAAAAGTTCATAAAGAGACTTGTATTCACATCTAAACACTGATCAGCGAACATAAACAGAAGTTCAACCGAACCTGCTTGACGTGTGAAAACAAACCTCATTGGTTCTTGCTGAAACTCAAACGTGATGCGTAACACGTGAGAATGAACCTCATTGGTTCTTGCTGAAACTCAAACGTGATGCGTAACACGAGACCTAACCTCATTGGTTCTTGCTGAAACTCAAACGTGATGCGTAACACGTGAGAATGAACCTCATTGGTTCTTGCTGAAACTCAAACGTGATGCGTAACACGAGACCTAACCTCATTGGTTCTTGCTGAAACTTAAAACGTGATGCGTAACACGTGAGAATGAACCTCATTGGTTCTTGCTGAAACTCAAACGTGATGCGTAACACGTGAGAATGAACCTCATTGGTTCTTGCTGAAACTCAAACGTGATGCGTAACACGAGACCTAACCTCATTGGTTCTTGCTGAAGCTCAAACGTGATGCGTAACACCTGAGAATGAACCTCATTGGTTCTTGCTAAAGCTCAAACGTGATGCGTAACACGAGACCTAACCTCATTGGTTCTTGCTGAAGCTCAAACGTGATGCGTAACACCTGAGAATGAACCTCATTGGTTCTTGCTGAAGCTCAAACGTGATGCGTAACACGTGAGAATGAACCTCATTGGTTCTTGCTGAAGCTCAAACGTGATGCGTAACACGAGAATGAACTTCATTGGTTCTTGCTGAAGCTCAAACGTGATGCGTAACACGTGAGAATGAACCTCATTGGTTCTTGCTGAAGCTCAAGCGTGATGCGTAACACGAGAATGAACCTCATTGGTTCTTGCTAAAGCTCAAACGTGATGCGTAACACCTGAGAATGAACCTCATTGGTTCTTGCTAAAGCTCAAACGTGATGCGTAACACCTGAGAATGAACCTCATTGGTTCTTGCTGAAGCTCAAACGTGATGCGTAACACCTGAGAATGAACCTCATTGGTTCTTGCTAAAGCTCAAACGTGATGCGTAACACCTGAGAATGAACCTCATTGGTTCTTGCTAAAGCTCAAACGTGATGCGTAACACGTGAGAATGAACCTCATTGGTTCTTGCACGTCAAGCGAACATGCTTGAGCTTCCGTTTACCACGACTGATGTATGAGATAAGGAATTTTTATATGTGAATAAAAACCTTAATTCAATCTGTTCATCATATAAAGCGATCGAGTCTCTTCAGAAAATTTGGACTAAACCGCTCAATTCATACGGATTAGTTTTATTAACTTTTTGAAGCGTCAAAGTGTCAGTTGTGTTGCTGTCAATGGAGGGACAGAAATCTCTCAGATTTCATCAAAAACGAAAGTCTTGCGGGTTTAGAATTATAATTTTTGGGTAAACTATCCCTTTAAATTGTTCTCATCTCATTCAGTTGGATGTTCAGTGCAAGTCCACAAAACTCAATGCATACAAACACAAGCACAGTAAAGAAAATACAAGAATGCGTTGTAAAGTTTTTTTTTGTGTGTTTTTTAATCAACATTTCTTCAAAGGAATGTATTAGTTGTTTAACCCTTTTAAAGGCATGTATGCAGGAGGGAAAACAAGAGAGGGGTCGTGAGAGGGGGAGATGGAGGGATGGACACAGGAAAGAAAACATCACACACAAACATGGTGTTTTACAAACGTCTGAACACATCACTGGAGAGGAATGGAGGTCTTTAAAGTGGCCGCCACCCGCTGGCTATTGGCACAGAGAAACACGTACACACAACTGAAGCGTTCTCTAAAAAAATACACACTTTGTGGTTCCGTCCCTGCTTGTGTCTGCGTAGAGAATTACTGGTCGCAGCGTTCGTGGTCGAAAGCAAGTGCACAAAGAACCGCTCGATGTGAAAGACAGAAGATGGACCTTTCTGGGGCCAGATGTTCGATAAACGAGACCTAAAAAAGGGAGGATGGTGAGCAGAGAGAGTTTGTGTCTCCTCATGTGTCCTCGAACGTTCCCCTTCCATGCCGGTCCGTCTTTGAACGATGTCCAAGTGTGTTTCGGACTTATACGCACACCTGCACGCACACACACGTATCCAAGTCCATGCGCACAGGGGCAGAGACATGGCTTACGCTGATTGTTTTAGTAAATGCAACATAATTCGAACAGAAACCGAACGCTTAAATATGTATGAAACAGCTCACGAATACAACAGCGCCGAACAAATGAAACACCTCCACATTATAGGCAACTTGATATTGAAGTAACAAAATCCAAATTTGCGTGTAAGAAGAAAACATCAATGTGACAGGAAAACAATGTCGTCTTTTTTTTTTTTTCTCACAGTCTTGATGCACCAGAGTGATACAAAACTAAATGCTTTTTGAGAGACAAATATTGAAGCTTCCTAGGCAGATTGAAAACAGTAACAGATTGTTCAAGTCCCAACGTCACAAATCACATCTGCAAAATAAGACCCCTAACATATTTGGGTATGAATGGCTTGTTATTATGTGCGTGTGTATGCGGTGTATTTCTTAGCGATAACATTCTTTTACACGCATACAAAACACACAGTGACAATGGCAGTGAAAAAGAACACAATTTGTACTCCTAAGGCCAGAAACATATTTTACGCAAGTATGCAAACACGGATGCTAATGCCTGGTCAACACATTGAACAAACGTGAACGATGTTTTCAGACTAGCATACTAGCTTACTACTCTTACTATGGAGCCCTGCTCATTACATGCACAACAAGTGGCCGTGAATTTAGAATTTCTTCCCATGACTTATTCCTTTTGAGGCCATGTTTTATTAATTTGCATCATTTTTAATTAAATTGTGGTCACAATATTAATCAGATATTTTGTTTGTCGTTCCATATAGCTCATTTTTCTCTGCTAATTAGCTAAAGCTAGAAAAAGTCTGCACTCATAATAGTAGCTTATTAGTATGCCATTTTGAATTTCAGAAGAAATAGTGCAGACTATATGATATAACCAGCTTAGTGAGATTGGCTGCGTCCGAAAATCGCATAATCTCTTGAATAGGTACTTATTTTGAATAAGTAAGTATGTCACAGCCGCTAAAAAAGTATGAATGTGTGTAGTATGAATGTAATGGATGTATCACATTCGCTATGTTGTCATTATCATGTGACCTACAGCGTCAGTTGCGTCGCTTCACTGCCATTCATAAATCCTCTCCTGTGGCCTCATGGGATGGTAAAGTGAATTAGGAAGAAGTAGGTCATCCGTGAACTTTTTGCCTACTCTTTTACGAGTACTGTGAATTCTGACATACTACTTTGGTCACATACTGTTTTTCATCTACTATATAGAAGGGAAGTATGCAATTTCGGATGCAGCCATTGTTTCCCAAACTATTGATCTGCCGTGACAGAGAAAACCGACTGTAGAAGAAGACTAGTTTATGCTAATACTTGCTATAGCGCCCACACTGGCCACATTGAGAATGCAATTGAATTCCGATACATTTAAAATCACTTAATAATTGAGTTCTGACACATTTCGGGGATGCAACGACGTGCTAGAAGCGTTTGCATTCACACACTTGCATAGAGTATGTTGCAGGCCTAAGAGAGAGATTTTCATTGGCACTAACTGAGATAAACACACAGCTAGTTACAAAGCTGCAATGATTGTGTGTGTGTGAGAGAGAAAGAGAAAGGCAAAGAGAGGAGAGAAAGAGAATGCGAACGAACAATGCTAATCACGGCGTTTGTTGAGGTAACCAGCATATACGCCCAATCAGAATGGCTTTTGATTGAGTGTGTGTGTGTGTGATGAAAATCTCTTTACAAGAGCTTTTCTGTGTGCCATGGCCATTGAGTCGATCTCCGTGTGTGTGTGTGTGTGTGTGTCCGAACACGTCTACATTAAATTGAGACGAGCCCGCAGATACTCAAGAATTTGAAATGAGTCTAGAAATATTTCCACTTCACTTCATGTGAACAAAAAAGAGCACTGTGTGTCTGTAAAAGAGTAATTCTGTGTGTCCATCTATCCTGTTGTCCATCTGAGAGAATGAGTTCCTTTCTTCCCCTCATCTGTCTCTTTGTACCTCAGAAGACCACCGAGCCCAGATCTGCCTCTTCCACAGTTTCAGACGAGTTTAATAAAAACCTCTCTCTCTCTCTCTCTCTCTCTCTTTCCTCCTTTAAGCATCTTTCAACTTTTCTTCTCTTCCTCCACCTCCCCCTCCCCTATTTTTTTCTTTTAATGTGATTCTTCCATAGTTTCACAGTCGTTCTAGAAGTTTCCTCGCTCGTGCGTTTGCTTTCCCAACAGGCGGTGTTCGCATTCTTTTCTTTTTATTTCACCCCCCTACCAATTCTTGCCTCCTCTCTGGGTTTTTTTCCCTTATTTCCAAGCGTCTTTAAAAATAATAATAAAAAAAGCGTTCTCGGGATTGTTCTACCTCAACACATTCACAAACGAGGTCTAGCTTCAAAACTACATCAGAGTACAAGGAGCTATAAAAATATATGTGTAGAACGGAGGAGACTCCAGGGAAAGAGGAAAACGAGGGGGAACCAAACAAACTTGGTTTCTGCAACAAAATGAAAAGCATTAAATTAATTTACAACTCAAAAAGGGAAAGAAACAAGGTCAGCATGTCATAAAAAAATAGGAAAACAAAAATTAGGCCTAGCAAACTGTAACTTTACATGGAAAAAAAAATCTAAAAATTATTTTACGCAGTATTCATATATAATTATAATCTATGTGTTGAAAGCGATAAAAAAACTTTTTTGATGTTCGCTCATATTTTTGTGTTTTGGTTTTGAAACAGTCTAACAAACACACGCGCCCTTGCTCACGCTAACACTGTACTCAATCACACACTCATCCACGCACAAAAACACTTGCGAGTTGTATTGAAGCCCGCCGGTCGCAACGCGTGCGACTGCAGTGTTGGAATATTTATCCTACACACTCACAAAATACACACGTTATTAAAATATACAAGATTCTCCACGCCACTACAACTCCACCAATCAAACACATGGGTCCTAGATCACGTGACTGCAGCCCTGTGTGACGATTGGCTGAATTAATGGCCCCTCCCCCATCACGAAGGAGTTTAATACAAACTAGACTGCTATTTGTGAGTAGATGTAGCATTCGAAGTCAGAGTTCACGTGTTGTCTTTGTAGGTTTGGACAAGTTTTCCTTTTCTTTTTTTCTTTTTTGTGTTTTTATAGTCTGTTTTTTGCAAGTACATCAGAAAAAGTTTTGATGCTTGTGCTCCAGAACGCCCCCCATAAAAGGAGTCTATGTTTTTTCAGTTGGGCTGAATCACTCCAGGAGGTTTTCTCGAGCTTTAAGAACTTTTCCCCATGTGGGACGTTAGAGAGAGGGAGGCCCTCACAACAGGACATCCTCTCTCTCTCAACAAAAGGCCGAAGTTGGGGGGAGTGACGAGGGATGATAACACACACACAGACACACTCCACCAGGAATGGTTAGTGTGTCGGAGAAATGCGTGTAAAGGTAAAAGGATCTACGGGGATGCAGACTGTAGGGGGCGGGGCTTGTGGGGCGTGGCTTAGGTAGTCGTTTAAGGTGGGTGTGGTCTTGGCGGATGTTGTCGGTAAGGTCGTCTCCGGTTCTCATACTTTATAGTAGATGTTGGCAGGACTCTGAGGAGGCATCTCCTGTACGATGTAGACCGGATGGCCGTAGTCCCCGCTCACTTTCTCGTAGTGCGGGCAGTAGGCGGAGTCAGAAGTCCGCAGCGGGATGATGATGTCGCTAGGCTCGGAGCCATTGTTGTTGCCGCCTCCTACGCCCCCACCGCAGCCCCGCTTGGGCGAGGTCAGGGAGGACAGGGAGAGGGGAGGGTGGTGCGATTCTGAATGCTTGGCATGTCGGCGCCGGTAGCACACCACGCAGATCACGGCGGTCACGAGCAGGAGGAAGGCCGAACCGCCGGCCGCACCTGCGATAACAGCGATGTTGGAGGGAGGGAGGGGGCCGTTTTCTCCACCGGGACTTCTGGGAGGAATTCGGGGATGTGTGTTGTTTCCAGCACCTGCAAAACAAAGTGAAGAATTTGATCAATTCCAGATATATAGGGCCCTATTTTAACGATTGAAGCGCATGGTCTAAGTGCACTTAGGGCGAGTCCGAATCCACTTTTGCTAGTTTAACGACGGGAAAAATGGTCTGCGCGCCCAGCGCATGGTCTAAAAGGGTTGTCCCTATTCTCTTAATGAGTAATGTTTTGGGCTTTACATGCAATAGACCAATCAGAGTCTTATCTCCTATTCCCTTTAAAAGCCAGTTGCGTTCGCGCCATGGCGGATTCGCTATTTACATGGAGGAATTTTCCAGCAGAAAGACTGAACGCTTCTCTAGCGAGGAAACGGATCTGCTCGTGCTTGAGGTTAAAGCGCGTGAGCAGACCATCTACGGGACAAAGTACGCGCGTTGTGGATCCGCCTATAGGTGCATATTACTAACACGCTCTTTAAATAACGGGAAAAAATTTGCGCCATTGACTTTAGACCAGGTTTTTGTTGGTCAATGGCGCAGTCTATTTCAGTTTCCTCAAAATAGCAATGCGCCAAGCCAACAATGCGCCTGAACACACCTCGTTTTCAGACCAGCACGCCCATGGGCGCACAAATGGGCACAAATGCATTTGCTATTTAAACAACTTGGCGCAGGACGTGAAAATGATAACTGCGTTGGGCTGAAACTAGCAAAAATCACTTGCGTCGCGCCTGGCGCTGCATTGCGCCGGGTGTATGATAAAGCCCATATGACACTCCATATATATGCGACCTGCTCCATCATTTTTAATCGTTATGACTCAGTAATAAATGATTTAGAGATATAATAATTTAAATGGTGGCTGTCATAAAAAATAGTTTTCGAAAAAAAACAACTCTTTTTTTTAAAGCATTTTTGAATAGAGGTTAGAGATTTATTCTAACGACTACCATCCAAATTAATACTATCATTCAACAAGGACACATTCAATTGATCAAAAGTGACAGTAAAGACTTTTATGCTATTACAAAAGATTTCTGTTTCAACTAAATGCTGTTCTTTTGAACTTTTCTGCATTTTATATAAAAAAAAAAAAAAAAAAAAAAAACGTACATGGTTTCTATTCAACGGTACATTGCTAACAGGTAAAAAATAAGTAAAAAATAAAATGCATGTATTTAATATTTATGATTTTATTGATAAGCTTTTTTTAGCTAACTAACAAGCTATGGATTGGACACTGAATTAGTTTCAGCAGTGCAGCAATCTGTCACACCACATTTAAGTGACAAAACAACATTTATGCTCTGAATATCATGATAAAAAGGGCAGTTTGAAAAGAACAGATCAAAAATGACCTATTTTCATGCAACTTCCAGCAAAATGATGGAAGTCACATATTGCTTCCTTGAACAAACTTCACATAAGCCCCTTAAATTGACGGCCCAATTGGCTATATAGTTTTCTGAAGTTCAGTGCTTTTTGTCAGGGAAACTTTCTGGATCGCATTTGGTGATGACACCCATTAGTGAGATGACCACCTTTAACTTGTTCCCGTATTGGAGCGTGGACTCAGAGAAGTGCCCTCTGACACTTACATGAGTATTAGTCTGATGTAGCGGGTTCATTAGCGCAGCCACATCCTGCCCTCCGGCATCGCCTATCTCCAACTCGCCATCTGATGGGCTAGTTAATGACTTTAACCAATCAAATGGAACAAATTAAACGGGACCAGTCATCTAACCCCTTGATTGGCTTGTTCATGTCCTTAACAGATCAGACTGAACCAATTAGAGCCCTCCGTGTTCACTCAAACTGTCAGAAATCTGAATAAAGTTGGAGGATGTTGTAAAGTACTGGACTTTTCTCTGAACTCGCTGACCAGTGACTCAGATCACAGTGAGTCAAGGTGGATTGGGTTTCCGCAAACATGCGCGTTTTGGCACGTGTAAACCTGTGGTCAGCCGCTGTGGTCTGGCAATGGAGACGTGGACCACAATCATCAGACCGTTGAGTTGAAAAAATGTGTATTTGGATACAGCATTCAGTCCTGTTCACATCAAGTATGAAATGCAGAAGTGACACAAATGCCAGACAAAAGGTCTATTCACATGGAGAGTAAACTGGGAAAACCTCCCATAATCAGGCAAAGTTGTGTCTCCAGTAGGAATAGTTTCATAGAAGTGCTCTGTTTTTTAATTCAAAGTTGTTGTTTTTAGTGAATATCCATGCTGAATATTTCCTCTGTGTGAATAGGCCTTTACAGTACTTGCAGACGAGGCTTCGCCATGAATTATTCTTAATACAGCAACGTTTTTTTTTTTTTTGCTGCTGCTGCTGCTGAAAGTTGTTTATCGTTACATTTCTTTTTTTGCCCTAAAAGCTGTTAAACACTCAGAGGACACACCAGGGAGCAGCAGCTCTAAATGTTCTCTTAAAAAACATAATAAATAACCTTTTTTTTTCTACACATGGAAACATGAGCTGTGGTTTATGGGCGGCAGCTTTGCACACACCGGAATCGAGTATTTAGCCTCTTCTATGAACAACAGCTGAGAGAGCATTTTAATAGATGTGGGATCTATGAGGCTATATTAGTCATTTATCTTTACATAACGGGATTATGGCGTGTGGGAGGCATTTCGCAGGGGAAATGAAAGCCAATCTAAACGCTGTGGCTTGATTGGGCTCTTTAAGATGAAGAACCTGAGCGAGTACAAAACCTCACAATAGAGATGTGCTAGATAACCACCTCATGGTCATTCTCAAAGGTCAACTGGCTTACTATATAAAGACTTTATTGCTTGGTTTCACAGACAAGGCTAAAGCCTAGTCTCAGACTAAAATGCATGTTTGAGCTGTCTTACTTGCACTGACATATCTTAACCCTCTGATGGTCTTCAAAAAAAAGTCACACTCGTGGTCTTCGGGGTCTATTGGACCCCAGACAACAACATTTAATTTTGTAACCGAACAATATATATTTTTTTAACAAATATAATTTAACTCTGTTTATTAATGTTTTTACTCAACATTTGTGCTGTTTTTGGAGAATTTATGAATTTTTTTTAAATTTCTATAAATAAATAAATAAATATTTAATTAAATAGGATTTTTACAAAAAAACAGCATTTTATCTTAAATAAACTTTATAAAAGACCCAGATTTCTAACTTTCATTCCTGGGGATACCATGGATAATTTTACAAGGTTTAATGTAAGATTTTTGCCCATTTTTTGGAAAATACAGGTTAAAATTTGTAATAAATCACTTTAACCACTAGATGGCTATAGAGCTCCATTATATGCTATTTGCTATTTGAATTACTGAAAGAAATAGTTTCTAAAGTTGGATTCAGTTGGATTCATATCTAAATATTATAAAATCACAATTATAACAAAAATAAAATAATTTTTGTCAAAATTTAGCATTTTTTGTACTGAAAAAACACTATGCATGGTAAACCGCATTACTTCTGCAGACAGGGTTGGAGCAGGTTTGGCACTTCACTGTTGTTGTTGTTGTTGTGTGTGTGTGTGTACATTTTATTTTTATTTTTATGTGTACAGTGTCACCAATTTATTTTTGTGGTGGTTCTTCATTTTGTATGATTTTATTTGACAAATTATAAGACTTTTTATAGCCTTACAAATGTATTCCTGTGTGTGTGTGTTTGTGTGTTTGTGTGTGTGTGTGTGTGTGTATGTGTGTGTGCGCACATTTTCAATGCGTCTAAGTGTTACCAATTTATTTTTCTGGTGGTTCTGCATTTTAGATTATTTTATTTTACAAATGATAAGAGAACAGTTTTTATAGTCTGTATGTATTCCTGTATAAATGTATTCCTCTTTATGTGTGTGTTTGTGTGTGTGTGTGTGCGCCTGTGGTGAGCATGATAATTTTGGATTGTGGATGTTTTTTGCATTGTTGGAAGTGTGCCACTTTATTTCTGTCATTTCTGTCTATGTGTTCTACGTTGTTTCTGATTTTGATGGTGTTATTTTGTCTATTTTGATTGCGGGGTCCAATAGACCCCGAAGACCACGAGTGTGACTATTTTTGTCACGCCAACATAAAAACAGATATCATTAAATTTTTTTTTTTTTTTTGTAGATCTAGAAAGTGTTGAGAGCCGTAGAAAGTTTCAAACCATTTGGACAAAGAGAACATTTTTTTTAATTTGAGCAAAAGTCATTTGGGGTCCAATAGACCCCTAAGACCATCAGAGGGTTAAAATATGTCAGAGCCTTTGTTTTGTCTCAAGGTGCACATCAGTAATATATTTTTTTTTAAGGAACATTTATAAAAACTACTTAAATGGCCTAGTCCTGGCTTAGTCTAAGCCCTGTCTGTGAAACCAGGCCTTTAAAGAGAAAAAAACCTGTAGGAGTTTCAGTTTCTTTTTTTTGTATGTCCAAGCTGCTGTTTTGACACATAGCCTGTCAAGCTTCAACATGGAAAAAGAGCTAAATGAATGTAAACATGTGACTTGGGAGGTATATTCAAAGTCTTCTGAAGACATATGATAGCTTTGAGCTTTAATTTAAGGGGTTTTTGGAATGGAAATCTTGCCCTCCATCACCACGTCATGTTTGGTTGCAATTTGGTAACATCACATTAGCTTGAAATGGCAACTGAAATAAATTTTCTTAGAATAAATACTTCTGGCTTCTTGATTGCAACATTTGAAACATGCATTTTCCGGAAAGCTGCTTTGAAACAATATGTACTGTATTGTGAAAAGTTTTTAAATCAATTGAAATTGTGGTGATCACACAAATCATGTGTATGGCTTCAAAAGACAAGAAATATAGGAGTTGTATGGACTATTTTCATGTTATTTTTGACAGCCTGTATTGTATACTTTTAGTGTATGTATGTTTAGTAATTGCCAATTTGAAGTTTCAGTTTCATCAACAAAAAAAATCTAATTTTGTGTTTCACAGAATAAAGATTTGTTATTTTGGTGGTGAACCTTTCCTTTACGAAGGCTCACTATAGCTCACTGGCAATGGGAAAGACAGATTGGAAAGGTACAGCAAGGTTTGATTACACACACACACACTTTAAATACAAGACATGGAACAAATGACCATTGTGCTGAGTTAGCTGGACATGGCTGATGTTTCAGTGCGTGTATATGTGTGTGTGCAGTTGTGATCTCTACGGGAGACAATGAGAGCCCCTGCCGAGCGAGGGAATGGTCGGAAATACAGGGATCTGTCTGCAGGCGCTCTCAATTGGCCCATCATTATTCTTGACACAATTCTCTCGTTTTCTCTCTCCATCCCTCACTCCTTTCCTCCACCTCCACCTTCGCTCCATGTCTTTATGACTGTCCGTGTTATTTGTGCTCCTAATGACCTTCAGCCCCCAAACCCACCTATACACTCCTCCACTCCAACTGATGATAGACAGACAGACAGAGAGAGAGATAGATAGATAGATAGATAGATAGATAGATAGATAGATAGATAGATAGATAGATAGATAGATAGATAGAACGACAGATAGAACGACAGATAGAACGACAGAACGATAGATAGATAGATAGATAGATAGATAGATAGATAGATAGATAGATAGATAGATAGATAGATAGATAGATAGATAGATAGATAGAATGACAGACAAATAGATAGATAGATAGATAGAACGATAGATAGATAGATAGATAGATAGATAGATAGATAGATAGATAGATAGATAGATAGATAGATAGATAGATAGATAGATAGATAGATAGATAGATAGATAGATAGATAGAACGACAGATAGATAGAACGACAGATAGATAGATAGATAGATAGATAGATAGATAGATAGATAGATAGATAGATAGATAGATAGATAGATAGATAGATAGATAGATAGATAGATAGATAGATAGATAGAATGATAGACAGATAGATAGATAGATAGATAGATAGATAGATAGATAGATAGATAGATAGATAGATAGATAGATAGATAGATAGAACGATAGACAGATAGATAGATAGATAGATAGATAGATAGATAGATAGATAGATAGATAGATAGATAGATAGATAGATAGATAGATAGATAGATAGATAGATAGATAGATAGATAGATAGATAGATAGAATGACAGACAAATAGATAGAACGACAGATAGATAGATAGATAGATAGATAGATAGATAGATAGATAGATAGATAGATAGATAGATAGGATGATAGACAGATAGATAGATAGAACGATAGACAGATAGATAGATAGATAGATAGATAGATAGATAGATAGATAGACAGACAGACAGACAGACAGACAGACAGACAGATAGATAGATAGATAGATAGATAGATAGATAGATAGATAGATAGATAGATAGATAGAGACAGATAGATAGATAGATAGATAGATAGATAGATAGATAGATAGATAGATAGATAGATAGATAGATAGATAGATAGATAGATAGATAGATAGATAGGAAACTAAAAAACAGAATAAGACACGAGGCCCCATTCTTGTGCTCCCAAATGTCATACAAGTGCAAACAAAGAGTGTGAGTAATTCTCTCATTCTATCATAATACACTAATCATCCTCCTCTCCCTCCCATTCTCTGTGTCTTTCTTCCTCTCAGGACCAACTAAACCCAAGCCGCTAAACTAATGGCATTAATACGTCTCCGAAACGATGGCTCTCTCCTCCTCTCATCCTTTATCCTTCCCTGAGCGGCCATTACCTCCACCGCATTCTGCCTCCGGTTTACAGCTCAGGCCTCCGTGGAAGAGCAGGACGGGGGGAAACAGGGGGAATGTGAGGAGGAGAGAACAAACAGAAGGGTGGAATATATCAAAAAGAACCCGCGCGCCAAGACGCCTGTTTCTCTCTATCCATCTGTCGCTTCCTTCCCTTGTTCCTTTGGTTAGTTCTGTTCTTTTATTAATGTTGTGTCTGTTTGGGATGAGCCGTATCCTCATGATACTGAAGGCAGCTGTGCTTACCTGGATTTGGGTTGTTGATGCGGCCCGCGGGGTCGGGTTTGGGAGATTTGGCCGGCAGACCATATTGACCTATGGAAAAACCATTGAGAAAGAGTTTAGTAATAATAATGATTCAGAAATTGTAGTAGCATTTCACAGTATTACTGTGTTTACTGTATTTTTGATCAGATAAATGCAGCCTTGGTGAGCATAAGACACTTCTTTCAAAAAACATTTAAAAAATCTAGTCTTTTGACCAGTGGTGTATAAATCAACTCTATTCAAGTTGACACTAATTCATATGCAAAGATGTTTACCAATCATCAAGAAGGCTATTTGCATAAGTCTTAAAGGTACAGTAGCAAAGACGACCTGATTATTTCTAAAGGTCACAGAGAGGGTCCAGAAGGTCCTGTACATCTAAATTACAACTTTAGGGAAGATAATAAATAGTAAAAAAAATGGTAAATGGACTGCATTTATATAGCGCTTTCACAGACCCAATGGCCACCAAAGCGCTTTACATTTTGCCTCACATTCACCCATTCACTCACTCACTCATACACCGGTGTCAGCCATGCAAGGCGCCATCCAGCTCGGCGGGAGCAGCCGGGGTTAGGTGTCTTGCTCATGGACACCTCGACACTTGGTCAGGTGGAACCGGGGATTGAACCACCAACCTTCCGGTTTGTAGACAACCTACATGAACCACTGAGCCACTGCCGCCCCAAAAGTGTAAAAGTGCAGAGTGTGAGTAAAAAAAAGCAGAGTAAAAGTGCAGAGTGTGGTCCCTTTAAGACGTATCACACCATAATGTTGCTGTTGAGGGGCTACCACTGAGGTTACAAACACTTCAGACAGCAGACAGACATTTCATTCACTCACACACACACACACACACACACACACACAGAGTCATCTCTGAGCTTATGGCGAGCTGTCACACTTGTCAAAATGCCATGACAGTCTGTGTGTGTGCAGGCACATCTCATCAGATATCTCCAACCGAAACGGCTTTTATTTAGATGACAAACAAAACAGACGTGACCTTTCAGCCACGAAGCAGATAACAACTACAGTGAGAGAGCAAGAGGGAAAAGGGGAAACAGAACGGGATTTTTAAGTAAAGTCAGTAATGTTTCTGGGGGAAAAAACATATGATTTATAGCCAAAAAAAAAAAATAATAATAAAAAAGAAAATTTGTCATAGCTATGTTGAATCCTCTTTCATTCAACAGTGTAGTGTGATAGGCATGACTGATAAATAACTCTAAACTAAACAGACACGAGTGTGTGTGTGTGTGTGTGTACAGTTACGGCTCGTGGAGTTGTGTCCACAGTCTGTTGGGATTCACTTACCGCTGTTGTCCTGAGTTTAATAATAAAAACTAACAAGGGTACGACAGAGTTTGTGTTTGTGTGTAAACAACAGCTATTGGTCACGAGCGTGGTCATCTGTGCCACTGAGAGAAACGCAAATCCAGCATCCGTAACTGTTTCAGGCGAACAACCCCCTGGCTTTGTCTGCCGATACGCTCCCAAGAGTGTGTGTGTGTGTGTTACTCACTCTGTCCCACTTTCAGCACCACCTTCATGCCCTGTGTAGCACAAACTCCTCCTCTCATGCTCTCCAGCCCCTGACGCGTCCCGTCCGATGTGGCTGTGAAAGAAAAGAAGAGATTTTATTATTTTTATATCATACACACAGCAATAAATCAACCATTCAAAAAGTGACTTCTTAATGTTTTTATTTAGTCTTTTATGACATTTTCTCAAGTAAAAAAAAAATATATATATATATATATATACACAGAAATGTATTTTTTAAAAAGCGATAAATATTTGAAATGCAACACTACATACAATATTTAGCATTGTTTTCATAGATTGCATCTTGAATATGTCTATTTTTTTACAAGTGTATTTGTGTCTTACTGCAATAGCAGATTTTTTCACTTGTTTTAAACCTGTTTTTTACTTGAAACTAGTAACAAAATCTGTCACTTGTATTAACTTGTATTAAAGATACGAACATTCTCTGAACACAAGTCTTAATATCTTATGCAGTGTTGCTTCTCAAGTACATTTATCTCATTTTAAGGGGATTTTTTTTTCAGTCTGAACTGATACTTCCACAAATATATCCAGAGATGTTCTACATATAACATATAAAATAGATAGCATCAGAACCCACTAGTTATTTAGAATTTAAAATGGTATTCTTAATCCAAGTTTGAGTGAAAATGTGGCAGTCTCTTCAAATGATGCGTCAAGACAGATGTTAAAAATAGCAGGGGTTTTCCCGCAGATTAATTTTTGTCCCGCCAAAGCTTTATCTGGTAATCTAATGTGATATCTGAGATAACTGCTGTACTTGTGATGTCGGGATTTTATTTATAAGCTTAAGGCGTTGTGCTCTGGTTGTATAAAGCACATTTTGACAAATTTTCATCTGAGGATTGTATGCATACTGAAAATGTACCCAATGTGCACTGCGCATACAACCTGTGTGCTACACAAACATATCTACAACAGACTCTCAGACACTGTAGTAATAGTTCCCACTGACACACATATATTAGATCTAATGTGGATTAACACATAGAAATGTCACTCTGCATCATGGTGCTGCTCTAATGAGGCCTAATTTCCGGTCCCAGAGGAGGTCATTTAACTTCCTAAAACGCCTCAAACTGCATCCATCACTCACACACACACACAAACCCGCTCGACCGAGGGACTCTTTTCACTTCCTCCAGAACGCTGACGGGATTTTGAGAAATGATATTATGGACCTGCAGTAAGTAGGCCAGCGATGACCGGTCCTGATGGGAAGTGGGCTACAGGTGATGTTGTGTGAGATGCATGTGGGCTGAAGTGAGCTAAGAGAAGACAATGGCTGGGTACATGTGGGCCAGACGCACGGCCCAAAGACAGGACAGGACAGCTTGTCCTCGGTAATAAGCAGGGTTCTAAATTAACACCCGCCAACCCGCCAAATGCGGGTTAAAATTCATTTTGGCGGGTGTTAATAAAAACTTACTTGCCAGTTTGGCCGGTGATGCATAAGGTTCTGTTCTCGGTCATTTATCCCCCTGGCAGTACTTCCTACATTTCCCATAAACACTGTGCCGTAATGCTACGTGATGACGTTTCATACGCCCATTGGCTGCGCGCAGTTTGCAGTGAAACCAGCGCGAGAACTGATCATGGAAACAAACGGAGCGTACGCGTCCATCCACCAGAAAACACAAGGAAGATGAAGAACGAGCCAGAGCAGGGAGCAGACTGAAAGAGGAGGGAGCTAGTAAAGTAGCTAAAGTAAAAAGTTAAGATTAAACTAAATGCGGCGGTGGTTGGGACAGACTTCTGGGTTTAAATTTAAATGTCGTTTAACGAGAGATAGCCTACGTTATTTTTTTTAAGTTTAAGGTTTTTGTCATTATTTCTTACAAGCTTATACATTAGGCAATAGCCTATAGGCCTACACAACAAGCTTACTATATATCTTAAGGTTTTCTTTTAGTTGAAAACATTAAACAATATGTGTAAACAAAATATATAAACAACAAAAGCATTTAAGCTCAGGCAGCGCAAACGGGGAAAAAAGCGGAAAAAAAAAGCAGACTGGGCAGTTATCGTACAGAACGTAGTCAGCATACTCGAATCAGCATATGATTATCGTGTTTATATTGTTTCACGTTCATGTTGAGAAAAACAATAATATCCACATGCTCGAGTGAGAAAATGCAGAGACGCGCGCGCGTGTGTGTGTGCAAAGTGAAGTAACAGCACTTTGCGTTTTCTGTTCTTAAACCTGTCTCCCTCAACGAAACTTAAAGGAAGCAAATGTCAAAATCATTTTGCTACCAGAAGATATCGGGGTACAGCTGCTGACCTGCAGTCGTTAATGCAGTGATGGACAGCTGCTTCCTCAGTCGACTGCTGTTTCTTTGGATTTCATGTGATTTCTCATTGTGGTGGTGATATTATGATAATAATTAATAATTAATAATTGATTAAACGTAATTCCATTTTGTAATAGGCTATCATTTTCATCTAAGTAATTCCAAACTTCGCGAGGCAGACAACGACATTATGTGATCAAAAACACAATCCACTTGTTAAATGCTCCACCCAGTGCATTTAATTATAACTGCGAAAAAAAATTGAAGAAAAAAAGTATTAGTATTAGTATTTTATTTTTTTAATAATAATTACAGAGCGAAAATTCGAATATTCGTGCACATCCCTAATAGAGATAGATCCCAAACTTGAAATGAAATGTTTGCACTTTCTGTCTTGTATTGTAGTTTATATGTGTTTTTCATGCCAACAATGTTAATAAAATTATCAAATGCATTCAGTGGCACTCATAATTTCTCTTATTTTCACCGGAAAAAAATTGGCTAGTGGAAATTCTAAATGGCTGGTAACTTTAGAAAGTTACCAGCCACATTGGCTGGTGATCAAAAAAGTTAATTTAGAACCCTGGTAATAAGGTCTGGCCATCTTAAATGAGAGAGAGAGAAATAATGACCTGATGTAAGTGAGAGTGCCAGATCTTATTTACTGAAGGATGGAGAGAGAGAGAGAGAGAGAGAGAGAGAGAGAGAGAGAGAGAGAGAGAGAGAGAGAGAGAGAGAGAGAGAGAGAGAGAGAGAGAGAGAGAGAGAGAGAGAGAGAGAGAGAGAGAGAGAGAGAGAGAGAGAGAGAGAGAGAGAGAGAGAGAGAGAGAGAGAGAGAGAGAGAGAGAGAGAGAGAGAGAGAGAGAGAGAGAGTGAAATGGAGGTCAGACACACCTCTGTCCTTCATGTGAATAATATTTTAGTGTCTTCCGATTCATTCATTTATTTCATATATCACTCTCTGTCAGTCTCAAGTGGACTTTTTGAACAATTTTGTCTGTTTCTGAAAGAAATACCCCAGGGCAGCAAAATAACATTCCTACCAATGACCGATGGAGGGTGTGAAGAAAAGAGACCTTCACACTTTCATCTCACACTCTCAGCCTCACCGAAAGACTGCAGAGTGTGTTTGCACAGGGGAGTAGATAAAACAATAATGATAGAAAGATACATAGAACGATTCAGCGATAGAACGATATATACAATGATAGACAGAATAGCAGATCAATAAATAGAACGATAGATAGATAGATAGTTGGATAGATAGATACAGACAGACAGATAGATAGGTGGATGGATAGATAGATAGATAGATAGATAGATAGATAGATAGATAGATAGATAGATAGATAGATAGATAGATAGATAGATAGATAGATAGATAGATAGATAGATAGATAGATAGATAGACAGACAGACATCAGGAAGGTCAAGGTTAACTGTAACCCTAAAACATCTAGATATTCTGAGACGAAAGATGGAGAGAGAGAGACATTGATGGTCTGTGACAAGCTGTTGCTGATGTGATTGAGAATAGAGATGATAGGAGGTGACGGAAAGACAAAATGTGTGAGCGGACAACAGAAAAGAAAGTTTAAGAAAGAGTGGAAAGAGAGAGAGAGAGAGGGAATGTGAATGTGGCTCTTCCCTGTAAGGTGAGGCACTGAAAGCGCTTGGAGCAGAGAAAAAGAAAAGAGGAGAAACAAAAGACAAACAAGAACAATACTTGTAAGTAAAGCTGAACCTTTGGCTCTCCTTTAAAGATAAATGAAACACAGAGAGAGAGATAAAGAGGTAAAAATGGGATGAGAGAGGCTGATGGAAGCACGAGGACGAGAGAGGGAGATAGAAAGAATAAAGTAAAGACAGGATGAGTAATTGAGACTATGATCGGCAGTGATGGCGGGATGAGGAGAAATGGAGGTCGGAGTGGCAGAGGAACACCATTCTCCAAGTCTCATAAAACAGGAATAGAAAGAAACGAAGGGCAGAAGTCATGAAGAAACATCGCAGTCTTTTGTTCTTAATGACTGTGTGTATTTTATTTACCTCAGTGTGTGTATTTCTCCACGATAAGAGGAAAACATTTGAGGAAAGACAGTAGCAGCTGCATGTCACAAAGATTCAAGAGAGAGGAACTGATAAAAAAGAATGACGTGTAAAGGCCAGAAGAGCAATTTAGTGAACAAAACAAGGAACAAATGTGTGTGTGTGTGCGCATCTCCCACGCATGTGTTTATGTAAAGGGGTTCTGGGATGCCTCTTGTCGCACTAATGATGGTGATAAAGCGCAAGTCAGTCAGACGTGTGTGTTATGTGTGGGCGTTATCCCACGGCTATTATTGTGTGTGAGTGTGTTTATGAGAATTAGTGAGAGACTGTGTGTGTGTGTGTGTGTGTGTGTGTGTGTGTGTGTGTGTGTGTGTGTGTGTGTGTGTGTGTGTGTGTGTGTGTGTGTGTGTGTGTGTGTGTGTGTGTGTGTGTGTGTGTGTGTGTGTGTGTGTGTGTGTGTGTGTTGCATGCATGTTAGATATATTTTTCACGGCAGAGTGCAAATCATCATAAATATTCAAATCTGCGAGTTAAAGGAATATTTTGGAATATTTCTCAACTGTTGATTACCATAAACAAGCATTTTAAACCTCATAAATGAACATGCGTGTAAAAATTACATTTTAATTTTTTCACCCTCATTACATTACATATATATGCATCTTTTTTTTTCATGCAACATAAAAGAAGAGCGTTCGCA